TTTGGGTTGAAATAATTCTTGCTTGAAAGTACTGAGTGAGTTATCTATAAGTATTGCCTACTTTTTTCCTCTGTCCTTACCTCCTTTAGAATTGTCAATGGGTAATACTTTTAAATTACCATTCCATAAAATTGACTTTTGCGGTTTTTTAATTGTGCAGTTCCATGAATTTTCACACACTGGAGTTTTATCGTTGTAAGTATTACTTAGCTGTTGATCTGTTTCCTCCTACCGTTCTACTTCTCTAGGTGCGGTAGGCATCCTAAAGGCTGCCCAAAGAGGTCCACATCCTAATTCCCCTGGAGCCCATGACTGTGTGACCTCACACAGCCAAAGGGACTTTGCAGCTGTGATTAAATGAAGGGTGCTGAGATGGGGAGATGAACCTGGATGATCCCGGTGGGCCCAGTGTAATCACAGGGCTCCTTAAATGGTGGAACAGAAGCAGACTAGTCAGAGAGGTTGGAGTGATACGGACACCAACCAAGGAATATGGGAAACCTCTAGAAGATGGAAAAGGCCAGGAATGGATTCTCCACTGGATCCTCCAGAAGGAATGCAGCCTGCCAATCCATTTTCTATTTCTGAACTCCACAACTGCAAGAAAATAAATATCTGCTACTTTAAGCCACCAAATTTATGGTAATGTTTTTATGGCAGCAATAGGAAACTAATACACTCAGCTTCTTTTCTGATTATTCTAGAAGCTGCTCTTCTGATTGTTCGGCCCAGTGTTGTTCTCTCTGGCTTCTGAGAGCCTCAGGTGGGCAATAACTTTTCTCTTTGACTTAATGTGGCTTGGGTCTGGTTGCTGGAAACTTAACTGTAAGAATCCCCAAGGCAGCAAAGAGGCAGGAGGGGTCTCAGGCCCTGTGGGCTTGTAGTTCTCAGGCAAGATGCCTCAGCCACCCAGCCCATCCACTCAACTCCTTCCCCACCACCCCATGCATCGACCCTTGAGGTTGATGCTGAAACATACCCCTGAAGTCTACATAGAACCAAACCCCAAGTCTTCCCAGGACTCTCCACTCCCGGGGCCTTTGTCCCTGGTCTTGGGAGGCTCCCCAGGGTCAACCCAACCCATTGGCATGCAGGGAGACTTCAGACCTCTAGTTCCCTCAACAGGGCTTGAGGCCTAACCCACACCCTGTGGGCCCTGAGTCCCAGCAGCCATGTGGCTCATGCCCCATTCAGGCCACCATGTTCCCAGAATCCTCCCACACAGTCACTTAATCCTCCTAACACCTTATGGGGGTGTGTACTATTGTGGTCTCCCTTTTCCAGATGAGGAAACTGAGGTCCTGAGATGCTTAGAGCCCTGTGTGAGATCCCACACCTCTTGCTCTCCAGCCAGAACCCTCCTCCTAGCACCCCTCGCACAGGCCCAGCTAAACACTACCTCTCCTCAGATGACCCAGCCATACCAGGGCCCCTCAGGGACACACTCATGCACCCTCCCACCCTGTGGGGCCCAAGGCTCCCCACCACCATGCGTTCTCCACATCAGCTGTGTCTGTGACAGCCTTTTCTTTTTTTTCTTTTTTTTTGGTCTTTTGTCTTTTTCCGTGTCCGGCAACGGATCGCAACCCTCAGTGTTGCTCCCGCGCCTCGCTCAGCCAGTGAGCAGGAACCGGGGATCCGAACCCTCAGGCGGGAGCGCCGCTGCGCTTCCCAAGCGGCGCACTTATCCAGTGCGCCACCGGGCCGGCCCTGTGACAGCCTTTTCACTTGGCCATTTACAGCTAGTGACTGCTCGCACAGTGCTTTAATGAAAATCCATGGTCTGCCCATTATCTAGGGAAACGTTTATTCTGGTGTTGTCAGAGAATCATGGTCAGAAAAACTCCTTCTGGCCTGTGTGTACATACACGTGTGTGAGTGTGCGCGTGTGCCCAGGCGTGTTTGCCTGTGCATGCACGTGTGTGCACATGTGCGTCGGCCTGTGTGTGCCCACGTGCGTGCGTGTGTACACTTGCTTGTGCACATACGGGAAAAAATGTCTTTTGTTATTAAAGACTCTGTCAGAAGAGGAGGCTCCTGTGTAATTCTAACCCATGCGTGACTGGAGAGAGGAAAAACCCACACCTTTTTCTGTCACCAATAAATGGTCCTTGGCTTGTGCCCTCCAAAACTGAGATTTTTTTTCCCCCTGAGAAGGGAATGAGTGATAGCTACTATTTACTGAGGGCTTGCCCAGGCCTCACCTCCTTTCACCCTCTGGAAAAGCTAATAAGAAAATGGATTTCTTTTTTTATATTCTGGAAAACTCCAGCCCCACATGTCCTTCTGTTCCTCAAGGACTCCAAATTCACCCTCCTTGAGGCTTTTGCTGTCACCACTGCCAGGAGCCCTGAGCTGTTGTCTAACGCAGCTCCCACCTGGCCACTACCACAGCACACTTCTGAATTTATCCCCATGGCCAAACCAGTGGGGACGCCAAAGGGATATCCTCTTTCTTAGAGGCGTGAACTCTGGGGCTCAGGCCTGGCCCCTACAGCCACCAAACAAGCCCATGGCTTAATTCTTGTTCCCTGAGTCCCAAGGTCATCTGTGAGTCAACAGGAGGAAGCCATCCCAGGAAAGAGCCTGAAATAATAACACCTGGCATTCCGAGAGCGAGATGCTACTTTCAAAGCCCTCGAAGAGCCTGAATTCTGGAGGCAAACTGGCCTCAGATCCACTCTGAGTTCCATCACTGTGTGATCCCAGGCAGCTCGCTTTGCCTCCTGAACCTCAGTTTCCTCATCTGTAAAATGGGGACACAAATGATAAGGTGGTCCCTAGCCCATAGGGTAGCTGGAAAATTAAATATAAGCATGAGACTTGCGTACGCAGAGCCTGACACACAGCAAGCACTCAGTGAGTGAGAGCTGTTATTTCTGCAGTTAGTCCACAAATTGTTGTTGACAGCCATTGGGTGTGAGCTGGCTTTTTTATGTCTCTCCTACTGACCTCTCAAGAAATCAACAACTTTCAGGAGCTGGGGAGACAGTGGTGAGACAGTGGTGAGGAAAACTGAAGAGGACCTCAGCCTCGTGAGCTGACTGTCCATTGACACTGAACAAAATAAGTAAGTGAATTGCTTAGTGTGTTTGGAAGCAATAAATACCTTGGAGAAAAACAAAGCAGAGAAGGGAGACTGGAGGGCGGGGGTGAGTGGATATTTTAGATAGGGTGGTCGAGGAGGCCTCACTCAGAAGGTGACGTTTGAGCAAAGATGTGGTAAAAGAAGTGAGAGAGGGAACCGTGCAGGTGACTGATGGAGAATTCCAGGTAGAGGCCCTGCAGGTGCAAAGGCCCTGGGGTGGCACCCATGCCTGATAATGTTAGAGAATTTTAACAGTATCTTCTCCCTACCATTTTCTTTCTCAAAACTGACAAGCACAAGTGTTGCCCCCCCAACCCTCCAAGCGCTGCAGAAAGTGTACAGCACCTCTCCCCGTGACCGTGACCCAGCCACTGCCTCTTTAACCTTGAATGCTTTTTTGGGTCTCACGTGTCACCCAGTGGCGAGTGAGCTGCCCTGACTTCAGAAGAACGGCATGGGGTGGGGGGGCCTTAGGTGGTGTCCCCTCACCTATTACTGCCAAAAGCGGTCATAGGGTTATTTTTAAACACGGGGAGGAAGTATTTATTGTTCCTGGGCTGAGGAGAGCTGGGCAGTTTGTGGAATTCTTCTTGGGAAGCAGTGCCGTGTGTCTTCCACCATGGTGAGTAGCAAGGGCTCCTAGAGGTGGTGATGTTGGGTGGGTGACAGGGGACGCCACCTACAAGCAAAGGACCAAAGGGGAGGGGGAGAAAGGCGGGTTTCAAGGGCTCCAGCCCCTTGTGGAAAAAGCACTGTTCCCTGTGTGCTCACAGAGGAACCCCAATCAATGCCCCAATAAGCCACAAATAACAGCAGCTCCCGGGGACTCACAAAAACAAAATAAGAGAGTTGGCTTTTTTATGGCTTGTCTACTGACCTCTTGAGGAATCAATAACTCCCAGGGCTTGCAAAATGGGATTGAACGCTTTTAAGGATCAAATTGTAATTCTTTTCTCTTGTTCAGGCAGCTGGGGAAAAGAATTTTTTTTCACCTTTTGAACTTGCAAATCTAAAACCTTTTTTCCTGTTTTGTTTGGTTAGCGGTCTCCTCCTGCAGCAGGCATCTCCCAAATCAGGGCCAGTGTAGGTCCATGGTTAGGGGCACAAACTCTGGAGTCAGGCTGGCCAAGTCCAACTCTGGCTCTGTCTTTTGGGGCTGTGTGACCTTGGGCAAGTGACCTAACCTCTCTGTGCCTCAGTTTCCTCCCCTGTAAAACGGAAATGATAATAATAGCATCTACTTGACAGAGCAGTTATGAGAATTAAATGAAACAATGTATGTACAGTGTTTAAGTGTTTGCTGTTATTTAAAGTCAGAGAGAAATGGCGTGGGGGAGAAAGGTTAGCTCACCATCCTCTGCACTGTTGACACCATACAAGCACCAAACATTTAGAGAGGAGATTTCACTGCCATCTGGATTGAGTGAAGTTGTAGCGTGGGGGGAGCTGTTGGATTTTAACACCCTGAAAAAGTGCATTTCATCTGGGCATTCATCATGGCTTAGTGAGCCTGACTTTTTCTTTCCCTCCAATCAATTCTCCTTTGATGCATTACTGAGCTTTTTGTGAAATGCATCGGAACAAAAGAGGCGGGATCCTGCCGGGCTGATCCTTAGGTGTAGCCTCCGTCCCCAGAGATGCACCTGCACCTTCTCCTAGTTTTCGAAGAAGCCCTGAAAGATCTACAGTCTCTTATAATCCACCAGGACCAGGATGCTCTTGAGAAACTTTATTTTGTGTCCCTTTATCCCTGCATCATCACCTTTTTGAGATATGACTGTGGGCACCATGCCCCCATTTCACAGATGAGCAGCTGAGCTCTGCGACCTGAACTAACTCACCCAGAGATGGGACCTGACCTAGTTTTCTAATCCCAGCCTTGGACTCTTTTAATCGATGCTTTTCCCCCCAGGCACCTAAGAAAGCCAAGAAGAGAGCAGACGGCGCCAACTCCAATGTGTTCTCCATGTTTGAACAGACCCAGATCCAGGAGTTTAAGGAGGTGGGTGCAGCTGTTGAATTATCTGCCTGGATGAAAATCCCACCCGTTACAGAGACCTCCCTTTTGTTCCATATTCCCAGCAGGGTCCTTCTGATTAGATGTCTTTATCCTCCAAACAATCCCAAATTCAGTCTGAGAGTGTGTGTGTGTGTGTGTGTGTGTGTGTGAACATTTTAAAGAAATTATTTTAAATAAATTTGCCCATTATCAAGCAAAACATATTCCTTGTTGAAAATGTAGGAAAAATTTTCAGAAAAGCACAAAGTAGAAAATAAAAACTACCTACAATTCTACTACCCAGAGATAATCAGTTCACATTTTAGTACAAAGGTACTTCAAAAAGTTCGTGGAAAAATAGAATTAAAAAATAATACAAATCTGGGCCGAGCCCGTGGCGCACTGGGAGAGTGCGGCGCTGGGAGTGCAGCAGCGCTCCCGCCGCGGGTTCGGATCCTATATAGGGATGACCGGTGCGCTCACAGCGCTCACTGGCTGAGTGCGATGCGGCCGGTCTCAAAAAGGACAAATAATAATAATAATAATACAAATCTATCCATGAACTTTTGAAGTACCCTTCTATACACCCTTCAAGATCTTTTTGTTATATATGCATATATTTATGAAACAAAGTTACAATCTTCTCTGCCTGCTGATTAGTACCTGCATTTTTTCTTTGAGCAATTTATCATCAACATTTTGTATCATTTACTTAACCACTTCCTACAATTGGATGTTACATTTGTTTAGCGTGTTTTATTATTATAAATAACATATCTTTGCTTGTATCTCTGGCTATTTTCTTGGGATAAATTCCTAAAAGCAGAACTGCTGGGTCAAAATAACTTAAAAAAGAAAAAAAGGAACTAAAAACAAGCAGAACTGCTGATCCAAACCGCCCTCCAAAAACACTGCACTAATTCCTACTCCTGTCAGCCCCGAGAAGAATGCCTTTTCCCACATTTCCATCACCTTTGGGTATTAATAGTGCAAAATATTTTTTTGGTCAGGCTAAGAGGTGAAAAGCAATTATTTCCTGGATTTTAAAATTTACAATCTTCAATTATTGAACACTAGCCCTGTTTGAGATGCTGTTACATTCGATGGGAAAGTGCCTTATTAAGCAAACTAAGTACAATATCAATTAGGCAAAACTAAGCTCACAGGCTTAGAAGGACAGACTCCGAACTAATGTTCCAGCGGTTGTGATGGCTCACACGGACTCATCCTGGCCCTCCAGAGGAAAATATGCTAAAGCTATACTAAAGAGACCAGTGTGTTCTGTATCAAAAATGAAACCATTTGGGACTTCCTAAACAGTACATGAACACTTGTACATTTTGTCCCCACTAACATGCAGATCACAGGAATGCCACAGCCCATAGGCTACCAGGGAAAAAGGATTTCCTGGGATGAAATGTTATATCTGAACTTGAAATAGTCACCTTCCGGGGAGAAAGCCACACCCACTTCCCCTCCCTCACTCTGCCCCAACCTCTGGAATGAGATCAGCTGCTGGGGGTGTGGGCAGAAGGTGCAGATATTTTCAGGAACCAGCTGCAGAAAAGAACTCAAAAAGACATAGCCATGATGCCTCATTTATAAAATCCTGGGGCATTTACAAAGCTCCTGGGGTCTCCCTGGGAGCTAACTGGGAAAGATGACTGGCTTCGTTTTTACAGATTGCCCAAGCTTAGGAATGGGGAAAGCCAGATGAGACCCCAGTTTTTAACTTTAAAAAAAAAATAACAGCCTTTTGGAGATACAATTCATATACCATAAAATTCACCTTTTAAAAGTTAGTGTACAATTCAGTGGTTTTTAGTATAGTCATAAAGTTTGCAATCATCACCACTATCTAGTTCCAGAACTTTTTCATCACCCCAAAAAGAAAGCCCACACCCATTAGCAGTCACTCCCCATTCTTCCCTCCCCCAGCCCCTGGCAACTACTAATCCATTTTCTGCCTCTATGGATTTACTTGGATATTTCATAGAAATGGAATCATACAACATATGGCCTTTTATGTTTGACGTAGCATGATGTTTCAGGGCTCATCCATGTTGTAGTGTGCATCAGAATTTCCTTTCTTTTCACTGCTGAAGGATATTCCATTGGACGGATAGGTCACATTTTATCCATTTCTCAGTTGATGGACATGTGGGTTGTTTCCAGTTTGGGGCCATTATGAATGCTGATGCTATGA